GTGTGTTCTAAAGGTTAAAAAAATAGCACTTTAGGAATTAGAGTGGTTATTTTCTCCTTCAGCTCCTTATTTATTCATCATGAAGGTTTGGGAAGTATCCCGTTTCTGAAAATACAAAGAAAAAGATTTTTCTGATTAAGGAGGCTTTGACATGGAGGTGGACATAATCTAATGTGGTCTTCATGGAATAAAAACCCATAAGAGTAAAACCACGTAAAACAGTCTAGAAATTGCAACGTGTGATTGAATGCTATTTTACTTATTTTTTTAATTTGGGATGGCCAGTTATTTTTGTCATATCCATCCCATTTGGAATCGCCAATTGCATGTTTTTTACATCTCGGTTGTGAAACCCCCGCTCGCACACGGGGGAATGAGAAGTGTAGGCAAACTGCTCTGACGCTCTTGTCTTTAAGCCACTGTGTTATGTCTGTTAACATGTCGCAGGTGGGACAGATTAGAGGTGTAGAGGAGTGTTTTACCATATGTACACGTGCATTGGACTTCCCATTCGTGTCTCAGTACAACAGACCACACCACACAACGTAGACAGTACATTACAAAACATAAAAAATAACAACAGGAGCAACAAACCTGTTGTGGGACAATAAATATGTAGTAATGAGAACAAAACATGGTAGGCCATGTAAAAAGTGCAGAGTGCAGATGGGTATTGAGCCTGAGGCACTACGTGGCCGTTTTCTGTCTTGGCATTGAGCGGATCTCCGGACTGCTTCTTCACAGACGTCGAAAAGAGAGACAACCCAGTCTGCCGTTTCGTCACCCCGTTGGACGGGTCCATCGACTCGGAAGATCATCGCCGACCGGAGGTGCGTTCAGATACGTCCCGCGGCTCTGAAAGGCTTCCTGCTGCCTTTGTCCATGCAGTTAAAAAGAAACCTGAGCTCCACGAAGGCAGAGCATGAGAACAGATGAACACCTGGACGTGACCATTGAGCTTGCGTGGTATTTAGTCTCTAATTGATCCGAGGAGCTAATCCAAAGCTGATTCCTGAAAGAATCCACAGTATCAGCTTCAACAAAATTAGTGGGGAGCTTGGCTCCTGACAAGTCCCCAGTTTAAAAAATACTTTATATTTAATGATAAGTTTTAAAAGTACTTTGTTTTTATGTTCCATGTGACCTCTGGGTTGTATTTCACTGTTGGTTGTCTAGATGTCCATTGAGTTGACTATTCAATGTATTCCAATGTACCTTGTCTCTCTTTCTGTGGTTGTTCACGTTACATGTGTACATTACAGTGAAGTTCTTCTTTGAGATCTAATATTTTCTCTCTGTCTCTCCTAAAGGCTATAGTAACAGATGGGAAAAACTGGAAGAGAAGAATTGAAATAGTTATAAGGGAATATCACAAGTGGCGTACCTACTTCAAAAAAAGGGTAATGGTTTTCTGAGGTCTCAAATTAAAAATATGTATGAAAAGTAAAGTTCTGAAATGCGAGCTTGGCTAAAAAACACTTTTTTTTCTTGAATGCAAATGCCTGTTATGGATAAGTCATTGTACATGACTCTTGTGATTACAAGTGAAAACATTAAACAATACTAACTCCAGAAATTATGGGTCTTCCAAATACTTGATGTAGTTCTAAGCAAATATATAATTTTAGTATGATCCTTTTGAAGTCTTCAGAACTTCAAAGCTTAGACTACTCAGTAAGTCTTGTATACAAATTGAACATATTTTAGATATATTGATTTTGTATCCTTTTATAAATGTTAAACATTTTATATTGTTTTAGTTTATTTTATATGTAATGTTTTAATAATATTTATATTATGAAAATATTTGATGCAGGAGTCTGAAAAGTGGGTGTTCAGCTAGAAACAGATTTCAGCACTGGCTAGTGTGTCCCCTGATGAATGACAAAATAAGAGCCCAGAGATAAAGTTGTGCCGTACACCTTCAGTAAACAGGGTGTGATCATGTGTACTGGTTGACATGTTACAAAATGCCAGGTATAACTTTGCTCTGTACTTTGTGTTACAGTTGCAGAAGCACAAAGATGATGATCTCTCCAGCCTGCTTAAGGTACTGCTTTATGTT